AAATATAATAAGAGATGCAAACCGAAACCTGTGTGATATCATAGTTTCCTTAAAATATATTCACCGCCTCCTGTTGGATGCTGGAGGTATGCCGGCGTCTGTCTTTCAGGATACGACGGTCGAACCCAGCTAATGCAGAAACACCTTCTGAATAGCTTTGGCGAACTTGACCATGGATGCACTCTCTCTAACAAGAACCAAAGAAGAGGCTAACAAAAGAAGATATGAAAAAATTTCTTTGATGTAAAAAACCATCTCCAACTTTTTATCTAACACCATCTCATTTTCCATCACAAAACCTTTCTAAAACAACCTACTAGGTTGGAGGAAAAATGTCTCTATTTATATTAGTAGGGGAGAGCCTTATCCATGAAGGCTAACATCAATGGGGTCATCAAAAGCCATTAACCAAGGCCATCTAGCCATTAGGGCCAGAGTTACAAAGGTTGAAAACCTATGACTACTAATATGGTCATCAACTCCATCATCAAAAGATGAGAGTTACAAAGGTCTTCACCTCTTATGTGCTAAATATATACAAATAAATATGTATATAATGATGTTTGAATAAACCAACTAGATGGGTCACAAAATGGATACTAATGTTGGGCCAAACCCGATCCAAACCCAATTCTCAAACAAATGCACAAGTTAAGCCAAACACAACATAACTTAGCCCAAGCTTAAGATTAATTCTAAGTCTAAGTCCAAGTCTAAGACCAAACCCAACACATGCACAAGCACAAGTCTAGGCCCAGTCCAAACTAAGACTAAGGCCTCGTTTGGTAACCTTCTATTTTAGCCTCACTATAAATTGTCATGTCACTCTCTCTACTTTTTTGCACATCTTTTTATAAAGAATCAAAAAGTTATAAAAATAGCATGTTCCCAAATGAGGGCTAAGTCTAAATCTAAGCCCAACTTTATTAATGCCCACTTTATGAGACATTCTCATTTACAACTTAATGGTTTCGGCTCATTATTTTTATATTGTAATCTTTTCAATTGGAAGAATACAAAACCACTAAGACCTACCTCAACTAGCGAGTGGGTCCCACTTTAATTTCGAATTAAAGTTGTCGAAAAATCATTATTTTCCAACAATCCCCCACATGAATAAAATTAGCCGAATAAAGAAAAACAGACAACGTTTAACAACAAAGACTCGGAGAGAGCACACAAAATAACCCTGCATCAGAAAAGGTAGTTATTGGCCTTGAACCTTTCGTAGTGAAAGCCTATCAAATTTATTGGTTAACCAGTGAACGCGATGTCTTGAATTGTTCTGCCGTTTGTGTAAATGTGTAATAATTGAGTTTATATTGTGGCCATGGACTCAGACCATTCTCAATAAGTTACATGCTATTTGTTGGAGTGTAGGATATACCTTTTTAGAGTATTTGAGAAGTATTGTGCAGATGTTGAATCAACAGTTTTTTTTTTTTTGCTTTTCTATTTATGGATGCTTCTAGGAAAGATTACGCATATATTCATTATTGTTCAAGAATTATAAGATATTATTCCTTAAACTGATGGGTATTGGCTAGTTACAATTTACCCACCAAGGAAAAATATCCAGTGGTCTTGGAATTGTATGGGACACATGTATGGACTTGACACCTCTCTCTCTACAGTAAAGAAAATATTACCGTCTCAAACTGATGGTTATTAGTTATGTACTTGCACAATTTTGTTACTTGTAGGTATGCTTCTCTGGTCTAACACACTACTGGTATGAAACCTACATATTTTATGTGTAACTTCTATAACATTTCTACGAAGTTAGATTTGAAAATTAAGGTGTGAAAGCATTGCCTGACCGTTATCATTGCCCTGGTTTTGATATTTTGAACCCTTTTTTTTGGAAGATTGTATGACGGGAACTAAACTATCAAAAGTTCTTGCTGATTTAGGACTTCTCCTTTTCAATTTAAATTTCCCTTGTGTATCACTTTGACTGATGAGAAAATAACAAAATCTTGCTTCTCTTACATCAAACCTAAAATTTAAGGTTTCAAAAATATTCTCCATCAGGGTCCATCAAAAACAGCATTAGCTAAGCAGTCCCAACAAATTTTCCAGATACAAGGGGCAGTTTTTACAGCCTAACCACCTTCATATACTTCTTTAAATAATTTGTGACCAGTTTGTGGAGATGATGTGGAACTGTGACATTATTTCAAAATTCAAACTTTAAATCTTTTAAATGGCTGATTACAGATCATATATTTTGTTATTCTAATTTTTTTTTGTTGCTAAAAGTCATTTGATTTCTTTATTGCTTGTTAAAGGAGCAGATTGTTGAATTCTTTGGTTCATTAGCTTAGCTGTCTATATTTACTTGCCAAACAAATTTTACAAGCTTGTAGTAAAGTGCCACTTATCAAACATAGTTGGAGTTCGTTATTTCTTAAAATCATTAGAGGCAAATATATATATATACTTGTCATCTTCTTTTTTCTACCTTTTTGTGCTCTAGCATAAGGTCTAACTCAGCTGATTGCTTCAGTATAAATCACATGTACATGTGTTAACTTATGCCCCAGGGCACCTCAAATGCTATTTATTATTTAACACGAAAAAAGAAGAATTCCTCCATCTATAATATTAAGTTCCGCTCTTTTTGTTTACTTTTTTCCTCATCAAATAATGTTGTCCCATATTACCTTTTCCATATGTAGTTTTCTTGATGACCATCTGTTATTATTTGGGCTGGCTGTTCAGAGAAGACTCAGCATTTTTTTAGAGAGGAGAAAAAAAAAAAAGGGGAGAAAGCTTAGACTGCTTAAACTCAAGCATTCTGACCCCTTGAGCATGTGATTTTAAAGGCTAGTTTTCATATAGAAATATTTGGGTTTGTTTGTGGTCTTTACAAAATCAACATGGGTGGTTCCGCATATGTGATGAGTATTTTTATGCATGATTTGTTCGTTTCCTTTTATCCTTTTTATTCCATGTGAGTACTTTGTGGAACAATAGCGATGTTTTACTAGTTCTTGAAGTTGTTGGACATATACGAGAAAAAATAATGCTATGGCACTATAGGCTAGGACATCCTAGTTTTCTTTATCTGAAACATTTATTTCCAGAATTATTTAAAGGGATTGATTGTTCTTCTTTTCATTGTGAAAGTTGCATTTTTGCAAAATTTCATCGCTCTACTTATTTGCCAAAACCTTACCAGGCTTCCAAACCTTTTTATTTGATTCATAGTGATGTTTGGGGCCCTTCTATAGTGGTGTTGGTGGTAGATAGTGGCATGTATAGAATATGATAGTGGTAGATAGTGGTAATATATAATATGTAAGTGGCATATAATGGGTTATAATGATGTTTGTAATATCTCCTATATAAGGAGTGTCATTTGGTCTTGTAAGATAAGAAGTTTTGAATATAACAGAAATATATTCCTTCTTCCTCATATTTTCGGAGTTCTTCTTCCTCATATTTTCTAAGTCAAAATTATTTTGTTAACTTTCTTTTCTTGCCAATAAAACTAGGGGAAATTGCAAGTCAGTGGGACAGTTATAAATAAAATAATTGCACTACAGATGGAATATTTTTTGGTCCTATTTTGACACAATAAAGACTTGCACCAAACACATAATGGACTTGCACCACACACCTAGATGGTGTTTGGGAAGTGGGTTTTTATGTAGGTTTTTTTAGTTGTAGGTTTTTATTGGATAAAAAATTTTTGGTGTTTGGGAAGATAGTTGGGTTTTTATGTGGTTGGATGTGATGTTTGTGAGAGAAAAAGTGAAATGATTATGGGGTTGGATGTGATATTTTGTTTGGATATGTTTTTTTTGATTTTGTAAAAAGTTTGTCTTTTAGTGGAAAAAATGAGAAAAAAATTTGGAACCTAGGTTCCCAAACACCACCCTAGTAGACTTGCACCACCATGAAAATAAAATTATATTTCTATTGTTCCACTAAAAAGCAATTTCCCCATTAAAGTATCTCACGTTTGGTTGATGAAGATTATTTTAAATTTGAAATGGTAGAAAAGTGGGGTACCGCATTACCAATCTAAAATGAAAATTAAGTTTTCTGCCGCCAATAGGAGAGGTGTCGGGTTCAAAGCTCTACTAGGGCATGAATAACTCTAAAATTTATCCAAATGAATGAAAGATAACCAAACCAAGCCAAGCCTTAAGTCCCATCAACTGGGGTCGGCTACATGAATCTTTCTTCTCCACGCGGCCCTATCAAAGACTATTTCGTTAGTCAAATTAAGTAGATCCATATCTTTATTTACAACGCTAACCAACGTTAATCTAGGCCTACCTCGTTTCCTAACACTTCCATCTGCTATTACAACATCGCATCTCTTCACTACTGCCTTTTTTGGTCTCCGTTGAATATGGAAGCCTTATGAAAGGTTACCTGTGGACTTTCTTCCACTTCCTTTGAGGGGACAGGCCATCATAGGCATGTCCCGAACAATTCTTATTTGTTTTGAGAAGGCTGTCTATCATCGGCCTGACTTAAGCCCTGGGCAATTTGGTTTGGAGGAGGATTTTCAGTGTACTTTGACGGACCCTCTTGTGGAAATAAGAACCATATCTCGGGGTGGGCCAAAGGTCAACCGAGATTAGTCAAAATTTGGTGATTCTCATCGGTTTAATCAAGAGTGGGAAAGAAGACACATTTTATTAATCAACTATCAAGGTATATACACCCTTTATGTGGTTTTTTAAAAGTATGTTTACGTATAGCTGTAGTTGATTTTTATTGTCTACTATTATTTTCTCTAATGTAGTTGATGGGCCCAATCCTTCCACTTCTGAAATCCCCCAACAAACCTGCCTTTCACAACATCCACTGCCTCCTACATTTGTATATAATGAAGGTAATTATATGCCCGCTATTCCACCCATGATTTCTATATACCTATGATTACTTATAGTTATAGTTGATACTATCGTTTTCTCGATAGCTCTATAAGATTGAACTGTTTTTTGAATTTTGTTGTAGATAAAGAGAGTCTCTCCCCAATGGATTGGGATTGCCCAGTAAACTTAGGTTTTGGAAGTGAGTACCTTTAGGTGAACTGTTTTTTGAATTTTTTTGATAAACTGTTATGAGGTAAACTTTTTAGGTGAACTGTTTTTTGAATTTTTTTGATGTTCTATATTTCATAGGTGCATTTGTTGGGGAAGGTGGTCTGGATGATGTAGCTACCGGGTCCACAACTCCCAATTCAACAGGTAGTTTGCAGCACTGTCAAGATAAAGTTTTCCTCTTCATTTTTGTTTGTCCTACTTTGTTGTTTGATTGATATAGTTTCTATAGTTTTAGTTTTGTTTGATTCATATATTTATAATGTTTTTAATTTTGATGTTCTATATTTCATAGCTGCCACTGTTGGGGACACTCAGCACAACTCACCACCACCGCTGACCCCCAATCCAACCGGTTTAATAGTTTGTTGCACTGTCAAGATAAAGTTATCCTCTTTTTTTTTTTGGTCTTACCTTGTTTTAGTGGTTATGAGTTGTGAATTATTTATTTTGATTATGTGTATGTCCAAATTATTAGTCTATGTTAATTATTTATTTTTTATTGAAAGGTGTGCCTCGCTTCAATGAAGCGTGCACCTCACCTTGTGCCTAAGCCACAATGAAAAGTTTTGGAAGTGAGAACTTTTTAGGTTAACTGTTTTTTGAATTTTTTCGATGAATTGATTTTGGCGGTGTTTGGGAAGCCTAGGTAGAGGCTATTTTAGCCTCAACAATAAAAAAAGCCTTTTAGCCCCTTTAGGCCATTGATTTAAGAAAAAAAAAAAAATAGCCCGGCTGTGGGCTGTCACAGTGACAGTGTAAGACTGTCACTGTGACAGGTTGGTTAATTACAATTTTACCCCTCTAAATTAATTTTGAAAAATGTGATGTCATTTTAACTTCAAACATCATTTCAACACATTTTTCAATACACCAACTCAAATAAAAATCCATCCCATCTTCCCAAACACAAACTAAAATAGCCTATTAAAATAGCCAAAAAGCCTCAATTGAAGTATTTCATAAAAATGAACACTTACAATGGTCCGAACTCAGCCTCGGAGAGGTTTACAACAGCAATCTACTTGAATCTACTTGAAGCTACTCCTATGAATCGAAGTGCAGTGCGGGTATTTAAAGTGCAGGTATTTAAAGAACAGGTATTTAAAGACTGGAAATGTAAAAGACTGGAAAAGAAAATATATGAAGTAAATGACTGATTTGTATGATCTGAGTCCTCATTCTTTTTTTCTGGGGGCTGCCCTGCTATTTATACTCGTCAGTGATGACCTTCGAACTGCACTTCGAACCGTCGAACTGCTCCTCCATGATCGCTGATCATGCTTCCTTACAAGTAGCTCCACTACGCCATTACTGGCAGTTGAGCTTCCCTCTTGTACTTGAATTTGAATATGAGTAACCGTTGAAGCTATGTCATCTTGCATCCCGTTATTGATCTAGTGTTACTCAGATCATGTGAGAACCAATATTTATTGCCACGTGTACGATCAGGATTGAAGGCTTGAATAACCTTCCTTTATTACCCTTACTCTGCCACGTGTCGAACTGTAACTGGCTTTTACAAAATATGTAGCCAACATTATTACAAAACCAATTAATTAATTAACTATTCTATGGAACTAACTAAACTAATTAATTAATTACAAATTAGAATTAACTAATTAATTACAACATGAGTACAACATGAAAGAAGTAACTAAGCTAACTAATAAGTCTCGAGAAGCAAGGAATGTTCACGCATGCACGGATTTCCACCCAAAAAGCCCACTGTTCTGCTACCAGAATGCCTCTGTTGCACAGTTAGAACATCTTTTCACTTTAGCCTCCGCTCTGTTCTATTCTAAGAAGTTGCTACTCAGTTTGAAAAAGTGGTTGCCATGCCAGAAGTAGTGGCCCGCCGGCCACAAACAGTAGCCTATTGTCCAAAAGAAGTGGCCTACCGTACGGAAGAAGTGACTGGCTAGCCACTGAAGCTTGGTTCCTCTTGCTGCAACAAAAAGCATACAGAGCACAAATACGGCATCCTCAAGGGATGTTTGTACACCTTACCTCTCCTTATCATCACACAGCTCAAAGGAGTGGCAAGCTCAATTCGCAAGCCATCAATCGATGCAATTTCATTACATGATGGCCTATGAACCAAGGTGTACAATTTCAATAAATACACAATAAAAGACTCTTAAACCTCCTCCGTATCATGGATTGATCAAGGAAAGTGGTTGACCTTGGAAACTTGACCTATTTCATCACTAACAAGTATGAAATGCCTCAAGTTTCCATGTGTTCAATTAACGTCCGATTGAATACCAAATTGCTTATTATCTTGAATCATTTTTAGTCCCAATTTTATTACTTCATTTTAATTACCAACCATTCCTTAGTTCATTAAGTCCAATAATGATCTTTAAGTCCTTTAACGGAAAGAAATATCAAACAAAGAGTTGTTTTGGGCATAAGAGAGACACCATGCCATTGGTAATGAACCCCCAAAGGGATTAAACCATTAAGCACAATACCTTAATCTCATGCTTAAACAAACACTTGGTTTGAAACAAATTTCAAAACAAAGAAAAAGCCAAGAAATGAGGGAGGTTGCAGAAGGGATTAGAGGTGATCACAAGTATGGAAAGCAAGAAATAAATGCTATCAACTCAAATAGGTTGGTGGCTAAGGTCTAAACGTCCAAACCTATGAGGACCATTACACTACAAGCATGCAATACAAGGAATAAATGGAACAAGCACACTAAAAAAGTTATAAAACACCTAAAAATAGTGCTGGAATTGAAGGCAAAAGAGCTAAAAGAGTAAGCTACAACATGGAGCAAGTTAAGCTAGTAAACAAGCACAAGGAGGGGAGGCTCCCCCCTCAATTTTTGAGACTTCAAAACATGGTTTTAGCCTTTGAAAAACCTTTGAGATTCAGTATTAAAAAGCTCAAAAAAAGTTGACAAAAATGTGAGAAACACAAGGGCAAAAGGCTTAAGAAGTGAGGTGCAAAGAAAGGTGATCCACCCTTCCACCCTTAATGGCCTTAAACCACAAGTTTAGGCCCAAAAATACAGAGTATAAACAGCCCAAAAAAACAAAGTATAAATAGCCCCAAAGCAGTAGGAAAAATAGCAAATAAATCAAAGAAATAAGCCAAGACTTTTTTTTGGTGAATAAAAATAAGCAAAGACTTATACCTCTTGAAGAGGAGAACCCTTTCCAAGTGACAAACCAACACTTACACACCCTCAAGAGCTCAAAGTAAGGTAAAAAAATACCTCAGCTCAAATACCACAAGGTTTGGTTTAGAGTGTATAGGCAAAGGCTTAAGAATTTGAAAGAGAGAGAGAGATAGAGAGAGAGAGAGAGAGAGAATTGTAGAGGGAGAAATATTTTTGCTCCAAAATTTCCAATCCTAAAAAATGGAAGGGGAGGTCTTCTATTTATAGAAAAACATGAAACTCCCTCAGAAATATCCATACATACACGTGTGGACAGATGCATGCACCTGTGGAAACAGTTGGCACAACTAGCATTAATATTTGTGTGGACCGCCCGAAACTCCACTTCGCGCGCGAGGGCGCGAATTGTAAGTTCTAGCTACTACAGTTCGGACTCATGTCACGGTTCTGAATCTAATCTCACAAAGTGCAATGTAAGACTGATAAATCACCAAAGAGTCCAAATTCGGCAATTGGTTTTGAAAAATCAATTTTGAATCAAAAAGCGCCAAACATAGATTGCTTCGCCAGATTTCAGAGTCGCCACCTAAATATTTTTTTTTTTGGGAAATTTAGGAAACCCTGATTCGTGCCTAAGGTCACGTGTCTGTCATCACCAAAGTTGCCTCAGCTCAGGAACTTGGGTACGAAAGAGGAAGGTCCTGAAATGAGCACCCTCGCTCGCCCGATCAAAGATCGGCCTCTACTAACATGATATGTCGTTTTTGAAAACACGTGCATTCTTATTCCGGTTTATTAGCTAACCTTACTATGTGATGCGCACAACATACAAGTATAGACTAGATCGCTCGATTTGGAACAAAACATCTCATGTTTATTTTCAAAAATGGTCTGAAGGTGCTACTCGCAAGTAGGCTAAGACGCAGATTTGCCACCCTCAAGTGGGCTTAAAACATGATTTTGCCACTCCACAAAGTGGGCTTAAGACGCACATTTTAATAAATTGTTCCAATTCAAGCAATGAAGCCTTCATCCACAGGCATTCATGCAATTAAACATTTAAGCAGTTAGCCTCATGGCAAGCATGCTAATCATGGCAATCACTTACACACATGCAAGGATGCTAAAGCATAAAAGCTTACCTAGTACTCCAAGCCAAAACAGAAGCTAGTTAGAAATCATGCATGATCCTGACTATACAAGATGCCTAATGCGACGCATGCAAAAATGCAACTAAAATGGGCTCGGCTATCTAAGATGGCATATGAATGCTACACTTGATACATGTATTCAAATAGGAATTGAAATACAATGCAGTTTGAATGATGCACCGAGCCCGGTGCATGCAAGACAGATAAATGAATGCAAACATGCGAAGCATAAGTATGCTAATTGAAACATGCCCTAAAACTAACCACTGAAAGCGGGTAAATAAAAGGGAGAAAAAAGTGGGGGTTGGAAAACATGCATCACACACATGCACACTTATTACAACAGTTCGCCCCCTCGACGAATGGTCCGAATGAATCAACTAACTAGCTATGATAAGCTAATTAATTACAAACCGAATTGAAACTAGCTATACTAAGCTAATTAGAATGTTACAACACAGATTAAACTAATTAATTACAAGACAAGTAATCAACTACAACTAGCTAGTAAAGCGGTAAAAATGGCCTCGCGGGGAAGGGTGTATGCATGCTCGGTCGGCTCCGCTCGGAAATCCACTACCGTGCCTCATGTTGCCTTTGTTTGCACTCTTTTGGACTTCTGAAAATTGTGCCAACTTCCAAGGTACTTCTGAGCCACCTTATGAACACGTTGAGGTATGATCGGCCAAGAGGAATGGCCATCGGCCAGAGTTTGTGGCTATCGACCAACTTTGATAGTCGATCGGCAGACTAAGTGGTCGATCGGCAGTTCTGATGGCCGGTCGGCCACTGCTTCCTACAGATTCTCCTTTTGCTGCAACAGAGCACTAACAGAGGCATGGAAGTGTATTTACAAGAAAATGTGCGTGCAACCACACTCCTTATCATGTCTGAAGCTCAAAGGAGTGTAGTGCTCGGTTCTCGAGCCATCAATCACGCATCTCAATGCATGATGGCCAAAGAGGCCGAGTTGCACAAATCAATGTCAATGAATGCACACAAATCCCACATAAGACTCGATAAACCTCCACCTTATCATACATGATCAAAGGTGTCAATGACTAAGAAATGAGGCACGT